GAAATTCCTGGAATATTTTGGGGGACTGGTTCATTTAGGTGAACAACAATGGAGTGGAGGCTTGAAAAGGGAAAAATGCATGCACAGCACCGCATGGTGTGTTGCGTCGGCGGCTCTCTACAGGGCTAGAGGAGGCATTGGTTGTGCAGAAGAGGCTGTTTTTGTGGGTATTAAGAAGATATAACATTTTCAGAAGGGAGACAAATGGGAAATCTGCTCGGGTTCTCTCTTCTGTACCACCATGAGAGAAGCCCCTTGGAAACTGATGCAGGCTGAGAGATGCTGATTCTGTCAACTAACATTTCACCCCTTTGTTGTTGTTTAGTTGTTAAGTCGTGTCCGACACTTTGTGACCACACGGACCAGAGCCCACCAGGCCCTCCTGTCTTCCACTGCCTCCCGGAGGTCTGTCAATTTCATGTTGGTTGCTTCGATGACACTGTCCAGCCATCTCATCCTCGGTCGTCCCCTTCTCCTCTTGCCGTCACACTTTCCTAACATCAAGGTCTTTTCCAAGGAGTCTTCTCTTCTCATGAGATGGCCAAAGTACTGGAGCCTCAGCTTCAGAATCTGTCCTTCCAGTGAGCACTCAGGGCTGATTTCCTTCAGAACTGATAGGTTTGTTCTTGCAGTCCAGGGGACTCTCAAGAGCCTCCTCCAGCACCACAATTCAAAAGCATCAATTCTTCGGCGGTCAGCCTTCTTTATGGCCCAGCTCCACCACGAGCATCCAGAGAATTCAGGGTGCAGTTGTATGCACACATAAGTGGAAGTAACTCCCGCTGAACTGGATGGATTATTTTTTTCTCTTAAACACAAACAACACCATCCACTTATGGAGGATCACAGAATCGTAGAATCATGGAACTGAAAGGGGCCTATAGGGCTGTCGGGTCCAACCCTCTGCCCAGTGCAGGAGTCCAAATCAAAGCAGATCTGATAGAGACTTTTCCAATTTTCTCTTGAAGGTCTCCAATGTCATCTTCCACGCTATTAGCTATTCCATGCAATTTTGTCTCATCCCCAGATTTGACAAACATCTCCAGCTCTCCCTCATCCAAGTCGTTAATAAAAATGTTGAAAAGCACTGGACCCAGTTCCATATGTGTTGCCTCCGACAGATTTTTGATATCACCTGGCAAGACAAAGTTCCAAATAGAGTAGTCCTAGAACGAGCTGGAATTTTTAGCATGTATACATTACTGAAACAGCAACGTCTACGTTGGCTTGGGCACGTTGTGAGAATGCTTGATGGTCGGATTCTGAAGGATCTCCTGTATGGAGAATTAGTGCAGGGAAAGCGACCCAGAGGGAGACCAAAGCTGCGATACAAGAAGATCTGCAAGTGGGATGTGAAGGCCTTAGGAATGGACCCCAACAGAGGGGAAACCTTGACATCTGAGCATTCAGTCTGGAAGCAGGCGGTGCATCACAGCCTTTCCCCCTCTGAAGTGACCCTTGTCCAGCAGGCCGAGGCCAAGAGGCAGTCCCGAAACCAGCAAAATCAGGGAGCTGGACAGGGGACAGATTGTATTTGTCTTCAGTGTGGAAGGGATGGTCACTCTTGAATTGGCCTCCTCAGCCACACTAGACGCTGTTCCAAGTCCTCCATGCAGAGCACGTTACCATCGTCTCTCGAGACTCCTCTGAAGTGACCCTTGTCCAGCAGGCCGAGGCCAAGAGGCAGTCCCGAAACCAGCAAAATCAGGGAGCTGGACAGGGGACAGATTGTATTTGTCTTCAGTGTGGAAGGGATGGTCACTCTTGAATTGGCCTCCTCAGCCACACTAGACGCTGTTCCAAGTCCTCCATGCAGAGCACGTTACCATCGTCTCTCGAGACTGAAGGATGCCTCATGTAATCTAAAGTCCTAAATGCAAAATGGAAACAGAAGCTCAACTCCCAATTTTTCCCATCTAGATAGGCTTGGAAAGACTCCGCTGGAAAACCTGGAGTGCACAGACTATGCTGGTCCTAAATGCAAAAAGGAAGCAAAAGCTCAACCCCCAATTTTCCCCATCTAGATAGGCTTGGGAAAGACTCCTTTGGAAAACCTGGAGTGCACAGACTATGCTGAGCTGAGGAGATGGATAGTTGGATTCCAAAAGAGGTTCGCTTCATCTGGTGTCGCTGTGAGTCGCTGTAGGTTTCATGTCCATTTTACTCAGCTATCTGCACCTCCCTCAGGAATTGCTTCTAAGAAAAGGTGCCTGCCTGGAACAGTCGTTTTCCTGCATGTTGGGAGTCTTGCCAGAGGCAGCCAGCTATCTCGTTTATGCCAATCTGACAACACTCTGTGCCGCTGGAAGCCTGGCGTCGGCTCCCAATCTATGGTGGCTTTGCACATGATGCCTCGTTTATGCCAATCTGACAGCACTTTAGTGCTTGGAGAAGGGCTAGCTCTGTGCCGCTGGAAGCCTGGCGTTGGGTCCCAATCTATGGTGGCTTTGCACATGATGTGACTGAAGGGAATGGGGAACAGCTGCCATTAGAGGGGAGAAAATAGGCAAAAAGAGGCTTAAGGACACTGTTTTTTGTTTATGTTAAGGAAATCTAGCAAGTGCCATGTGCTCCCTATGCGCCTTTATGCAGAGGAACCCCTTTTGTTTTGCTTTTTGATCACATACAGGTGGCCAACCCACTGGTAGAGTTCAGTGGGTTGAAGGAACTGGCTGCAGAGGCTGGGAGTTCAAATTCCCGCTTTCCCTCCTGCCCAGAGGGGCCAACTAAGATGTTGGCCGGCACACATGTGTCTGATGGGATTATGTGCCCTGGGCAAAGAGCATGGTAGCTGCAGAGTGCCACCGGAAGGAAGACCTGGAATACCACTTCTCAGAATATTATACTTGGGAATCATGGGGTTAGGATCGAATCGACAGCACATCGTTATTCTTACTAAGCGGCCACCCTGGCTTATAACAGGGACCAGAATTCTTGTTGCTTTGGGTAATAAATCACACTAGAATCAGTGTTAACTTATCAAGTTCCCTCAATTTCTGTAGGCGTGCTTTAAGGGCGTAATGTGCTGCTTATTCCAGTTACTCTACAAATGTTGGTTGCCATTCTTGTGGGGCCCTCTTGAATCCATGGAACGTGGAGAGGAATTGACTCACCAAATCCTCATTATTCAATGGGCCTACTCTAAGGTGATTTACTAGGCTAAACGTCAAGATTTGGGCCAGTAAATGCAGTCCTACATGTCACTTGTGTTGCCTTTTGCTTATCCTGGTAAGTTATAGCACAGGACAGATTCAGTGTCACGTTGGAATACTTCCAAAGAGTTTCTTTTAGAATTGCCTCCCCTTCCTCACTTCATTGTCAACGCCGATCTTGCATGTACGTAGTGCTTAGAAACCTCTCTGCCTTCCACCCCTGCCCGGGGGCTTCTGATTCCTCTTTTCCCATCCTTCCTGAACTGGGGCAAGGGAGCAGATATGGAGGGTTCATGGCAACCCGGGGTCCTTGGCCCGGCCAGCTGTGCCCGGAGGCAGAGCGAGTGAGGCCGAGGAGCACACAGGGGTGGAGGTTGTGAAGAGTGTGGTGGATGATGAAGGTGCAATGGCTTGTTAACGGTTCTGTCGATCTAGTATTTTTGCTGCCAGAAATGGCAAGAGGTACTTTTCGTCAGGCGCCAAAATAATTTGGCTGGGTTTGGAGGAGCCAGGCTTCACTTCTTCTGCAATGGGAAAAACAAAAGAAAAAAAGGAAAACCAAACCTGGCCATATGGTTACAGCGAAGAAGCAGCCTCAGGAAGCAGAGGGTGGGGGGCAAGGGCGTGTAGGCCCCTAGCTGTTCCCCATTAGCCCCTGACGCCAACCCCCACCCCTTGGAAGGCGAGGCTGCGTGTGCCACACAGCCTGTCCTGAACCCACTGAACTATCCCGGAGCCTCAGATGAGGTGAAGCATCTTATGTTGTTTTGAGCTATGTACTGCACCATAGTGCTAATGCACTCTTTTAGTGGCTTGCAATATACCTTATTTTTCCATGTATAAGACTATACTTTTGTCCAAAATCTTTAGACTAAACATTGAGCGTTGTCTTATACATGGAAGTAAGCTGAGGAGAAAAAAACAAGTGGAGGGAAAAGCAGGGATCAAAGTAATCCTGCAGGGCTTTGATCCCTGCTTTCCCCTCCACTTGCTAAGCCTTAGCAAAAGGAAAGCAGGGATCAAAGTGCTGCAGGATCGCTTTGATCCCTGCTTTCCCCTCTGCTTGCTAAGTCCCATGGGGCTTAGCAAACGGAGGGGAGAAGGATCAAAGCAATCCCGTGGCTGCATAAGGGGGAAAGGGATCAAAATGATTGCACAGTTGTGGAATTGCTTTGATCCCTTTCCTCCTCCTTTTGCTTAGTCACACAGGGCTTAGTACAAAGGGAGGAAACAGGGACCAAAGCCATCCTGCAGCACTTTGATCCTTTTTACCCTACATTTGCTAAGCCTCACTTAGATTTCTTAATTTTGGGTTAGAAAAGTGGGGGAGGCGTCTTATACATGGGGCGTCTTATACACGAAAAAATACGGTAATTATGCAAACAACAAATTGTCCCTCGGTGAGCTGGGTACTCAGTCTACTGACCTCAGAAGGATGGAAGGCTGAGTCAGTCTTGAGCAGCTACCTGAATCTATCCAGATCAAACTCAGGTTTGGAGCAGAGTCCTGACTGCAATACTGCAGTGTAACCCCCGAGCCAGGGGGCTTATCTTCCACGACTGCCCTGGATCTTTTGATTCCTCCTTTCCCTGGTTTCTCAAATCTTATCACTTCGCTGCTAAATAGTTGAGGTCTGCTGCAAGTCCAGGTGGTGTCTCTCAGTGCAGAAGAAAGGGGCACCATCTTGTCTTTTGCCTCAGGTGAAAACGTATCTTAGGCCAGCTCTCCCTCCTGCTTCTGTTGACGATGATCCGTGTACATTTCTGTGGCAGCCTGATACAATCCTGTCCACTTCACCCGTGTTTCTAACTCGACTGTCTATTTCCCTCTCCTTTTCCCCTGCCTCAGGAACGGCTGATGCTTTCTATTTTGCCCAAGCACGTTGCCGATGAGATGTTGAAGGACATGAAGAAAGATGCAAGCCAGAAGGAGATGCAACAGTTTAACACCATGTACATGTACCGCCATGAGAACGTCAGGTGAGAAACGTGGCTTGGTTTTCAGAGTTCTTTCTTTGAGCAGCCACCGCCGAGAAGGCCCTGGCCGATTTTGCTTCATAAAAAGTAGAAAGAAGAAGTTTATCAGCCAAGTGGCAGCATAAGGAACACCACAGGTTGAAATAAGAGGTCGAAAGCAAAATAGCTGTTGATGCAAGGTTTCAAAGAAAGATCTATGTCATAAGAATGAAATTTTTAAAAAACCCACCACACACAGCCTTGCCAAGTCCAAAAGAATGAAAAAAAAATAAGGAGTCATAGAATAATTGTTGGATGGGGCCCTCAGTATGACTCTGTATGAAGGGAAGAGTAAAGCCCCCAGGGCATTTTTGCCATCTCCAACGGCATCTTAGGGACCCACAAATTTAAAAATATTAAACAAATGAACAAGTCAATCCACAGCTTTCTTGGAAGTGAATGGAAGTGGTCTATTTCCACTCTTGGAGGGATCCAGGAATGGTAGTTTTCACAGTGTGGGCGTCTCGTAGAGTTCCTTCTCAAATTGGACTGGTTGGAATTTGTTTCCAAGCAGCCAGAAACAGAGTACAGTGGTGCCCCGCTTAACGATGTTAATTGGTTCCCCCCCAAAAAACATCGCTATGGGAAAACATCGCTAAGCAAAACACCATTTCCCGTAGGAATGCATTGAAAACCGGATAATCCATTCCAATGGGGACGGATTACAATTCACCAAAAAGTTTCATCAGAGGCGGAGCTTCGTCACTGCGTCGTTCACCTGTACTCAGAGAGCGCTCTCTGGGGAAATGCTGGAAACCGATCAGCCCAGACATGTAGTTCAATGCATTCCAATGGGGGGGGAATTCACCAAAAATTAACAAAGACTCAGAACAAAGCCAAATTAAGTTTGCAAAGGTTTTACAAGGTGCACTAATGATTCCAAACATTTTAAACAGTTTTGGAACATTTTAAGACACTTTATAAATAGCGAAAATGGACATCGCTAAGCGAAACAGGGAGACCTAAACTGTCATCGCTAAGCGAAGCAAGGTCCTGAACATCGCTATGCGAAATTTCCCCATAGGAAACATCGCTAAACGGAGCGCAAGATCGCTCCAAAAACCTCATCGCTAAGCGAATACATCGTTAAACGAGGCAATCGCTGAGCGAGGCACCACTGTAATATGATAATTGATCCAGGTACTTCCTATTCATGTTTCTTTTTATTGACTGACATCAATGAGGCCTATATGGCCGACAGAGCAGGACTGGACGATTTGTCTGAACCTCTTACAGGTGGCCTAGCCCTGAATTTGGGGCTGAGCAGCTCTATCAAGCCCTAAGGACAGAACAAAAAAAATTTAAAAAGAAAAAGAACAGAAAATCTAAATTCAGTGATCTAGCTAATGGGTCTCATTGGCCAGACACCTATTGAGATTTTACTCTGGAGTAAGTGCAATTGCATAAACCACAGCAGCAAATTACGAAGGTGCAGATTGTGTCCCTGTTTGTGTGCCTGGCGCACAACCAGGCCCACAACGGACACTTTTGTAATTAGCTACAATTCACCGTACAGCTTAATCAGTTCACTTTAAGGATTAGGACCATTATCTCTCTGGTGTGGATTTTCCTGCTGATGATGCAAATCAAATCAACTGTATACATTTGCTCACATCAATTTGTTTTTCCTGGAACCTCTCTGCAGAGTGTGGGTGAGTGTTGGGATAGGAACATCTGGAATGAGAGGCCTTTGACCACTGGAGCTCTGTTTATGAGGAAATTAATCCTCTTTAAAGCTTCCTGAAATAATGAGTATCAATAGCAAGTAACGTGCTTCAGTTGAGCTGAAGGATGACTTGCTGGAATTTTAGGGCTGATCATCATAATCAGCGAACTGAAGAATTGGCGAACTGGTCATGGAACAACTGAGTGGTTCCTGAAGAATTTCTTCCCTCTGGAGGCATAAAGGCTGGAAACTTGATCTGAAATAGAAAATGAAATCTTGAATGCTTGGAATGATGACCTTTGGGCCAGGTAACGCGGAGGGTGTCCGACTTGTAGCTAACGAAGTATAGATGTTTCTCTGGGATGGCGCTAGCGGCGTGTCAGCCCCGTTATCTTTTTTATTTCTTGTGCTTTCCCCCCCTCACAGCATCCTCTTCGCTGACATTGTTGGTTTCACACAACTGTCGTCCGCCTGCAGCGCCCAAGAATTGGTGAAGCTTCTGAACGAACTTTTTGCTCGCTTTGATAAACTAGCAGCGGTAGGTTTGTTGGTTACCTTGGCTGACTCGCCCTGCAAGGTGTCCTCGGGGTTTTCGGAACGAAGTGCATCTGTTAGCGATGGCACCTGAAGAAGGGCTCTGCTCCGTGGCAAAGATATTTAAGGGCACTTGGAAGCAGATAGATTGGGGGGGCATTGGAATAAAAGCAGGTCCATTACATTAACAGTGGTAAAAGTGGGACTGGGGGATGGCATTGTGTAGCTCTTCGCGACTCCTATCTGTGGTGTCTCGAGTCTCCCTCCCCTTCAGTTTCCTGGGTGGAAAAATTGGAATTGCCACTTGTGGAAGGTCATTTCCGGGTACCTGAAGCCACCCCATGATATCTGATCTAAATAAGTAATATCAGTTAAATATTTCTGGCATGGAGAGGAAAGCTAAGGCAAGATTAACAGTAGTACAATGGTGCCTCGGAAGACGATTTTAATTCATTCCACGAAAATCGTCGTCTTGTGAAAAAATCATCTTGCAAGGGTCCCTATGCATCGGTCAAAAAAAAAAAGTCTTGCGAAGCATCAGTCTAAAAAAAAAGTATTGCCAAGCATCGATCTAAAAAAAAAAGTCTTGCAAGGCACCATAGTGATTGCAAAAACCAATCGTCTTGCGGGTTTTTCATCCCACGAGGCAATCGTCTAGTGAGGCACCACTATATATGTATGATTATGATGAGCATCACTACATTGATCATCTTCATGATTATCATCATTAACGATTACACCAGAATTACTCGGCAAAGTGAAAATGACTCAGACCATGTTTGTGGACTTGCAGCATAATCTTAAAAGCAGACAGGTATAAGATTCGGCATCCTTTCAAAACACCCCATGTTTGCTACTGTAATCATACATTACATTAGAGATGGGCACGAACTGGCACAATGGTGGTTTGTGAAAGTTCGTGGTTCATCAGTGTCCACAAACCACGGTGAATTTTTGAAAAACCGAACCAGTTCATGCTTCGTTTGGTTCAGGCTCATCTCTAAATGAAGGTAGCTGAGCTGAGAAGTGTATTTTTGCTGCCCATTGGACTATATATATAGGGAACCTTCAAAAGAATGAAATGCCCATGATGAAAAAGTAAGGTGTTCACTCTTTTCATTTTGTATTGTGAAAGCGTGGTTCCCTGAACCACCCACAAAATGAACCACAAACCAGCCTTATTTACCGTATTTTTCGCACCATAAGATGCACTTTCCCCCCACAAAACAGGGGGGTGGAAAGTCTGTGCGCCTTATGGAGCGAAGAAAACAGATTATATTTTCCTGTTTTCTTCTCCTATAAAGTTGGTGCGTCTTATGGAAAGGTGCGTCTTATGGAGCGAAAATACGGTATTTATTTATTTATTGGTTTATGGTTCATTTTGTTTATGGCCCATCTATAGTTCACACCCTTTGGTAGAGAGTCTGTCATGCAGTCTCTTTTTATATCTGGTTTTGCAACCCATGACTGACTGACTGGTCATGCAATGGGCACGTTACCAAAATATGCCATCTACATGCATCAATACCACTGCACATCATGTGCTGAATTTATTAAGGCTTACTGGGCATAGTAATGAAGACTTATTACCTAGAGTTATTCCGTCTTTTTAGTTTGGGTGGGGTTTTTAGATTTCTTGCACTACAAACCCCATAGTTCTCCATTCTGGGAGTTGCATCTGACAGACAGGTTTGTAAAGGTGGCTCACCTAGGAGAAAGACCTCCTGAATATTCCAGTTCATTCAGTAATAGTAGCAACATGGTCTGACGGCATTTTTTAAAAAATAACTATTGTGAAATGTCTTTGCTGCTTTCCTTTGTGTTTAATCAAAGCTTTGCTCCATGGGGGGGGCGGGGGGAAGACTGTTTAGTTATATATGGGGTTTTAAGAGCCAAGAATGTAATTCGTCCACGAACAAGCTTAGTTTTAGACGAATGAAGGAACTGAATTAATAAGGAGAAGGAACTGCTGTGGTGTTGTAGCTAGAGCATTAAGATTTGGAAGATCTGTGCTCAAACCTCCACATGAGTTATAGAGAGAGAGGGTTGTTAATGGGGAAAAAAACCAAAACGGGGTGGAAATATGTCAGAAGAGCCTCCAGGAACCTTGATTTTTAACTCAGCAGCAGATTTAAATGTATAAAATGGATCTCTGGGTTGTAATCTGTCAACCCTGAGCTGCTGGCAGGACATGTTGTGTTATTCTGCTCTCCCAGAGGTACCACCAGCTACGGATCAAGATCCTAGGGGACTGCTACTACTGTATTTGTGGACTGCCCGACTACCGCGAAGACCACGCCGTTTGTTCCATCATGATGGGTCTTGCGATGGTGGAGGCTATTTCGTAAGTCTTCTGACTTCCCCCGCGCTTTCCTTCTTTCTTTTATCTTATACCTCCCTTTCAGTCTGATCCTTTTTTATCACTGTTTTTTTTAATTTTTAAACGTAAAGAAAGATATATTTATTTACCGGCAAACGGGCAAGTACCTTCGGGGTTGTTTCTAATTAAAAGGGCTCCAAAAGGTCAATGAAATAACAACCCAAACGAGAAAGCATAATACACTTCTCCCTTCAACAAGGCTGGGGTTAAGGGTACTGGACCCCCATGTAGTTAAAAATCTATGCGTAACTCTTATCCCCTACAAAACTACAAAGCATAAACAGCTGATTAACACAGACCTGGACGTAACTTCTTCCCGGCCGATATCAGCCTCCCGGCATGCCCCCAGCATCCTCCCTGGCTGCCATGTGGAGCCGCCATGACAGGAGAAAGGGGTGGCCAGGCCACTGCCATCAGACCAGGGGCTGCCCTGCTGCCAACAACTGGACCCTACGTAAGCCCGAGACGCGACGTTTTCAGGCCATGCCCTGGAGAGGAATAGCAGCACAGTATTTAAGGGATATTTATTTATTTATTGAAAAGTAAGTGCATAACCAATACCGTGCTGCTCAGGTATGTGCAATTCAAGGGAGAAACGTACCATATTTTTCCGTGTATAAGACTATACTTTTGTCTAAAATCTTCAGACTAAAAATTGAGGGTCGACTTATACACGGAAGTAAGCTGAGGAGAAAAAAACAAGTTGAGGGGAAAGCAGGGATCAAAGCGATCCTGCAGCGCTTTGATCCCTTTCCCTCTGCACTTGCTAAGCCTCACTTAGATTTCTTAATTGTGGATTAGAAAAGCAGAGGGCGTCTTTATACATGGAAAAATACGGTATATTGTGATGTGTACTCTTATGTGAATCTGTTGGATAGAGCCTCGTTAATCGACCAATTAGCTCTGCATGGGCAAATCTACGTGCCAGACTGTTGCAGTTGATAGAGGTTACGATCTTCATGTATTCTTGCTTTTGGATAAACCTTATTTTTTTCAGTGGTGTTAGTGAATATTCAGTGCCTCTCTGTCGGGATTTATCTTTCTTCTTGCTCAAACTGGTTTTCCTCTTAAAGGTTAATTCTTCAAAACTTTAAGCGTGGCTGGTGTTGTTTCGCCACTGGAGAAGTACAAATATCTCCAGCTCTTCTTTCCCACTCCACATTGTTAACTCAAACAACATCCTTTGAGCCAATTCTTCTTCCACTTTCGTTAAAGGAAAATCAGTGCTCGTCTGAGGGTTTCTGCCATGGAAAAATTTGGCCTTGAATGAAGATGTTTATGGAAAATTACTGGGGAAAGAGAAGTAATGAAAGCGGGCTTGCCAGCTTAGCTATAGAAATAAGGGGCTCTAGTTCAGTTCCAGAGATAGGGAAGGAGGGAGGAGAAGATGTCCGCTCCCTTTCAGAATCGTCACAAACTCAACTGTTTGCTTTTTGTCAGGGGAAAGCAGTTTATCTTGGGGGGTTTTATTCGCATATTTTGCTGTCTTAAGATCCATGTTCTGTATTCAGTTAGGTAAATAGCAGTAGCGTAATGGCCAGTTTGGAAGAGCAGGTGCTCTTAATAACATTCCCCATAGTCAGCCCCGAACCTGAAAGAGCCCAGAAATGCAGGCTGTTGGATCAGCCCAGTTTAACAAAGAGGACTAGGATCAAGCAAATGTAATGGCGTTTAGTGGCTGGTTCAAATACAAAAGCAAAGTGTACCACCCCATGGCAGATGGAAAACCATTAGAGGATACCAGGGTTAGGGCTAGGAAAGAATTATGCTTTAAATCCTCAACAGTCATAGCTGGTCAGAAGTGATGTTACTACTGTAAATTAGTGGTTACTAATCTTGGGCTGGAGCTCCCATAAACCCTGGCCAATGCAGCTGGCAGTGAAGGCGTCTGGGAGTTGCAGTTCAAGATCACCTGGGTTATTCAAGGTAGAGAACCACCAGTCTAGATAGACCAAGGGTCTGATTCAGTATAAGGCAGCTTCTTATGCATTAATGAGGGAACTGAAGCCACCCTATATTGCTTTGAGCATATCCGTGCCTTCAGCTCTCTGTGTCTCTTGTTTTTAAGCTTCTGGGATAAGACGCTTGTGCGCTTGTACCTTATAAAGCAGTGGTCTCCAACCTTGGGTCTCCAGATGTTCTTGGACTTCAACTCCCAGAAATCCTGGCTAGCAGAGGTGGTGGTGAAGGCTTCTGGGAGTTGAAGTGCAAGAACATCTGGAGGCCCAAGTTTGGGGACCACTGTTATAAAGAACCAGGGAAAATCCACAGCTTAAAGCATCCCTCACAAATGGTCACTGAACCTCTGTTTGGAGGTCTCCAGTGAAGGAAAGTCCACCACCCTCCCAGGTGGTCCCTTCTGCTGTTGAACACCTCTTCCTGTCATGTTCTTCCCAAGGTTTAGGTAAAGGTTCCCCTTGACATTTAGTCCAGTCGTGTCTGACTCTAGGGCGTGGTGCTCATCCCTGTTTTCAAGCCATGGAACCAGTGTTTGTTCGTAGACAGTTTCCGTGGTCACGTGGCCTATGCGACTTAGACACGGAATGCCATGAGCTTCCCACCGAGGTGGTACCTATTTATCTACTCGCATTTGCATGCTTTCGAACCACTAGGTTGGCAGGAGCTGGGACAAGCGACGGGAGCTCCCTCCATTGCGTGGATTCGATCTTCCGACGGCTGGTCTTCCGACCTGGCAGCACAGAGGCTTCTGCGGTTTAACCCGCAGCACCGCCACATACCAGTGTTTATCATTCTCATAACTTGAATCCATTGCTTTAGATCCTACCTTCTGGAGCTATAGCAACTAAGCCGGTTCCCTCCTCTACATGAGAGCCCGTCGGGTATTTGATGACACCTGTCATTCGGTCTTTTCATCAGGCTAAACATACCCGATTCTTTCCACCATTCGTCACAGGATTTTTTTTCCAAGCCAATTTTATGTATTATTTTATTTATTTTATTAGACTTATATACCGCCCATCTGGAACATGTCTACTCTGGGTGGTTTACACGAAAAATAAACTATGGAAATATAAATGTACTAAAAATACGACCCAAATTAACAGCGAAATCCAAGATGGAAAAGAGAAAAAGGAAAAAAGAAAAATAGGCTACGGTAGGTGATGACTGTAGCCAAGCTCTATCAAGAGTATAAATGGCATCTTTCATTCAGTCAATATTTACATGAATGATGGTCTGAAATACAAATCCCTATTTAGCCATTCAAAAAGGGTAACGAGCTAGAGAAAGAGGACAGCTTGTATTGATCAAATCTGACACAAAATAGTGTGGAATAGCTAGTACCTTGTTCCAAGACAGGAACAAAATTTAAATCCATGTTTATAGGCTTGATCATGGGGCTGAAAACAACAGAATGAAATTTAACAGGGAGGAGTGCAAGGTTCTACATCTGGGGGAAAAAGACCCAAATGCACAGTTTCAAGATGGGGGATACTTGGCTCGGTAGTACTATGAGTAAGAAGGATTTTAGAATTGTCATAGATCACAAGCTGAGTATGAGCCAACAGTGCAATGTGGCTGCAAAAAAGGCAAATGCAATGTTAGGATGTATTAAAATAAATCTAGTGTCCAAATCCTGTGAGGTGCTAGTCCCCCTCTATTCAGCACTGGTTAGGGCTCATCTAGAACAGTGGTTCAAACTGGGGGTCTCCAGATGTTCTTAGACTGCAATTCCCAGAAGCTTTTACCACTTGCTATGCTTGCCTGGATTTCTGGGAGTTGCAGTCCGAGAGCATCTGGGGACCCAAGTTTGACAACCGCTGATCTAGAGGACTCCTTCCAGTTATTGATACTGCATTTTAAGAAAGATGCCAGTATCTGGGGCATGTTCAAAGGAGGGCAGCAAGGATGATCCGAGGACTGGATGATACACCCTATGAGGGAAGACTAGAGATGCAAAATTTCCAAAAAATTCAATTTTTTCCAGAAAAAAGGGGGGAATATTTTTTCCTGGAAAAAAAAGAAAATTTTTGGAAATTTTACATCTCTTTGTTGTTGTTTAGTTGTTAAGCCGACACCCTCTTAACGTCATCCAATCTGGTGATAAGACATGGGCACGAACCACCAGTTCGTGCCGGTTCGTACTTCAGACAAACAGGCTGGTGGTGAAGGCTTGTGGGAGTTGCAGTCCAAAAACACCTGAGTAACCCAAGGTTAAGAACCAGTGATCTAGAGGACTCCTTCCAGTTAATGATACAGCATTTTAAGAAAGATGCCAGTAACTGGGGCATGTTCAAAGGAGGGCAGCAAGGATGATCCGAGGACTGGATGATACACCCTATGAGGGAAGACTAGAGATGCAAAATTTCCAAAAAATTCAATTTTTTCCAGAAAAAAGGGGGGAATATTTTTTCTGGAAATTTAACACCTCTTTGTTGTTGTTTAGTTGTTAAGCCGTGTCCGACTCTTCGTGACCCCATGGACCAGAGCAGGCCAGGCTCTCCAGTCTTCCACTGCCTCCTGAAGTTGGGTCAGATTCATGTTGGTTGCTTTGGTGACACTGTCCAACCATCTCATCCTCTGTCGTCCCCTTCTCCTCTTGCCTTCACACAACATCAGGGTCTTTTCCAGGGAGTCTTCTCTTCTCATGAGAGATGGCCAAAATATTGGAGCCTCCGCTTCAGGATCTGTCCTTCCAGGGAGGTGTCTAGGTTTGTCATTGCCTTCCTCCCAAGAAGCAGGCATCTTTTAATTTCTTGGCTGCTGTCTCCATCTGCAGTGATCATGAAGCCCAAGAAAGTAAAATCTGTCACTACTTCCATATCTTCCCCTTCTATTTCCCAGGAGGTGATGGGGCCAGTGGCCAT